GACCCCAGAACAAACTAGAGCTTTGGGAAAGCAAATGGGAATTTGTAATAAGGAAACGGTATTGAACTGGCTGGCAAAATTATCAGCAACACCTAATGTCAGCCAGGAGGAGATGGTAGCACTCTTAAGGGAATGCATGTCAGCTGAGGATTTTGCAGTATTACCATATGGCATCATGGTGGATACCAATACTGAACAACATACCCTATATAAAAGAGGGTTTTTAAATTGTACTTTCCTTATGACAACCTACTGGGTAAAGCATATGCTGAAAAGCAAATGCCAGATGAACGACCAGAAAGGTATATGGTGCGAAAAAAATTGTTATTCTGGTTAGCTGGTTTGGGAGTCAATCGTGGAGGGGTTATTGATTATGATGTACCTGAATTAAGAGAATTAGATGTACAAGGTTTAACACCTAATATCCGGTTGGGAATGGGTCCTGTGGTTGCTCGTGTTACATCTATGGCTGAATTAGAAGGCAGGGCTAGAGAGGTTTACGAGTTACAACAGCTAGCCTACCCTGGTGGAGGAGCTAAGAGAAGGGTGGCAGCTTTCAATAACAAACCATCTACTGACAACAGCCAAGGCAAAACTCCAATGCAGCAACAATATAAACCCCCATAATTTACTAACAAAATGTTCAGTGGCTCTGCTGAGGAAATGAAAATCATGAAAAAGGGGCTATTAAAAAGACTCAGCAAATATGAATCATGGGACAGTCTAGTGAAGCAGGTTATCAGCAGAGGACATGTTCCTGAAATTAGCACAGTATGAAACATCACAAGGATCAGCAAGTAAGAACTCTAATGCTCCTATAGCATCCACCTCACTCCAATCTAATTGAGGTGGCCGGGCTTCCCAAGCCCCTGGGTTTGTGGCCCCCCTAGTTAACGACTACTGGGGTAGACCCACTGTAGAAATTCAATTAAAGGGAAGTTTCGGTAGCGTTAAACAAAAGGCACTGGTAGACACCGGGGCATCTACCAGCCTACTGTGCACAAAAGCAAATTCAATCATCAGGAATATTCCAGTTAAGGATATTAAATCTCTTCCGTCATACAATGGAAAGGAAAGTACTATACCTTTCACTGACTTTATTACTTGTACTGTAGGACATCTGTCAACCCAAGCTTCCTTTGGTTTACAACAATTAGACGGAAGTGGCATCTTGGGAATAGATCTATTAAGGAAATTACAGATAGTGGTGGACTTACCAAATAACATATTGTGTCAAGTGAAAGATGAAGAGGCGGGTCTTCTAATTCCAGCAGCCCATAGGATATATGAGTTTAAGATAAACCGATTCTTCCTGAATGGGAAGAGGACATCAAACGGATTACCCAGAAACATCTCATGGTTTTCGCTCCAACTAAACTCAGTTGTGGAAAAGTAGAGGCTTCTGTGAAGGTAGAAGGACCAGACCCCAAACCACTAAGACAGTATAAGTATTCCATCGAGGCAAAGGAGGGAATTAAACCAACCATCGATGCACTTTTAGCACAAGGAGTGCTAATCCAGTGCCAAAGCATATGCAATTCGCCTATCTGGCCTGTTAGGAAGGCAGATAATAAATCATGGAGACTTACTGTTGATTATAGAGGGCTAAATCATGTTACCCCAAGACTAGCTCCTGTAGTGGCAAAATTCCCTGAGGTGATGGCTTTAATCACAGAAGGTGCCTGTTGGTTTTCTGTATTGGATATTGCAAATGCATTCTTTTCAATACCTCTCAACCCTTCTTCATCTTACAAGTTTGCTTTTACTTTTGATGACCGACAGCTAACCTTCACCAGGGTCCCACAAGGCTATCAGAACGCCCCAAGTCTGTGCCAGCGGTTGGTGGCCGCCCTGTGGAAGAATCTAACTTATTCCAGCAACATCATAAGTTACGTAGATGACGTCCTAATTGCCCCACAGAACAGAGAAGATAATTGTGCTGCTTTAGATGAGATTCTGGAAGCACTGAAGAAAGCTGGATTCTTAATCAATCCTAGCAAGGCTCAGTTGGTCCAGCAGCAAGTGACTTACTTGGGAGTTCAGCTTGGACCCACAGGCAGAAAACCGGATATTTCGAAAATAGAACTCATATCTAAGCTGCCTGCCCCGACAGATGTAAGCACTTTACGATCATTCCTTGGATTGGTTGGATTTTCAAGGGATTTTATCAAAAACTATAGCGAAAAGGCCAGACCTCTCTATAAACTTTTAAGAAAAAAAAATACAGAAATGGACTTGGGGAACTGAAGAGCAGCAAGCAGTGATAGACCTGAAACAAGCCTTGATGACTGCACCGGCACTTGCATACCCTCAAATCAACCAGCCCTTCCATCTACAATTGGCAACAACCAAGACAGCGATTAGTGCAATATTATTACAACAGAGTGGATCCTCCTTAAAACCAGTGGCATATGGATCTAAGGTCCTTTCAGAAGTAGAGAAACAGTATACAACCTGTGAAAAGGAAGTACTTCCATTAGTTTGGGCCATCTCCCATTGGGAGTATTTAATAGGAATGGCCCCTATTGTACTAAAAACCACCCATACACCAGTGCAATATGTTCTATCGGGTAAAGCTAATGCCGGGCGAGTCAGCCACCCTAGACTTGCCAATTGGACACTTGCCCTCCTGAATAAAGAGGTACGAGTAGAGAAGATCAACACACCTATTTCTGCACCTTTCGCACTTTGCCCGCCAATAACTGAGGAAATATATGTAAATAATCATGATTGTCCTCTACCTAACTTCAAAATTCCAGAAATTGTATCCCCCTTTAAATTTGAATCATGCTATGAAAGTGCAAAAGCCAGTAAGAAAGAATTATGGGTAGTCGATGGCAGTAGCCTTTTTAAAGATGGGAAGGCTGCTACCGGATATGCAGCGCTTCATGTCGCTTTGGACAAGATCTAGCAAGGAACCGTGTCATACCATTCTGCACAAGCGGCTGAAGTTGTGGCCATCATAGTGGCTTTAGAAAATGCTGAATCGACTGCCAATATCACCATCTGTACAGACTCTGACTGGGCTACGAGGGCCTTGTTAGACTGGATGATAGTATGGAAACAGCGGGATATGAAAACCGCAGATAATCATCCAGTGGCATATGCTGGCTC